CGGCCCGTTCCAGCGCAGAGCCGGGGCGCAGGGCCTTGGGGTGCCCACTGTTCCACGCGGCACTTCTCCTTGGACCTTACCCCCTGGGCGGCGCGGCCCGGGCCTCCCCTGGGCTGAGCTGACGCCTGCCGCGCCTCTCATTCATTCATTCATTCAACACGTTTGAATGAGCGCCTACTGTGAGCCAGGCACCGCGGCTGCTGCCCAGGGGGCGCTCTGCCCGCCGGCGCCCTCGCCCTCCCCACGCTGCAGCGCTCTCCCCAGCAACCCTGAATTTCCTCGAGCCTCGCACCCGACCCACCTCCTCGGAGTACCTTAGGCCCTCCTTCTTCTGCTTTGAAGATATTTGGGCTTTTTTTTTTTTTTAAAAGAAAGGGAGTAATGCACTCGGCTCCGTTGCTTTGGCAACCTGGCACATTAAACCTGAACACCTACTGTGTGCCGGGCTTTTAGCGTTTTGTTTACTTTGAAGCTGTTTGGGAGCCCCCAACCCCTGGGGATAGTGTTCAGCTCTCCGCAGGAGCGCGGGGACTTTCCGCTCCGCCCTCTAGCAGGGTGAGATGGGAGCCACTCGGGGTCAAAGTCCACCGAGAAAGGGGAAGTGAGTGGGGGACAGTTACAAGTGCAAATTCGGTTCCTCGACTACAGCCCTTGCGGTTCCTTTGCTCTGCCAGCCCTGGGGCTTTGGAGTGGAGAGAAGTTTGGGTTGAAGTTCCAGCTCTTAGTGGCCAGCTCTGGGCAAGTGGCTTCACTTTTTTTGAGCCTCAGTTTCTTTATTCTTTAAATGGGGATAAAAATAATATCCTCTTCATTATGAGGTTGTAGTTGTGAACTGTTGGTACCTTCCTGGCCCAGAGTAGCGGCTGAATCAGTGCCCACTACTGTTATATAGCCAAGGTGCGAATCCGCATTGCTTAGCTCTGCTGGATTGGCTTTCAGAGTGTAAAAAAAAGTTTTCTGGTGCTTAAGATGGAGGGAAAAAAAAGGAACTTTAAAACTCAAGCCAAGGAGAGGGTATAGCTCAAGTGGTAGAGCGCATGCTTAGCATGCATGGGGTCCTGGGTTCAATCCCCAGTACCTCCTCTAAGCATAAGTAAATAAAGCTAATTTACCTCCCCTTCAAAGGAAAAAAAAAATCAGATTGACTGGATATTCTAATTGGGTGAAATGAAAGGTGGGTTAATTTCCTAGGAAGACTGTAACTTCTAACCACCCTCCGCTGTCGGGGTGCGGATGCCACCTGTAGTGGTTGTTGGTTTTGGGGGGAGGTGTCCCTTTGTAGGAGTCTGCAGAGGAAGAAAGCATGATGGGGCGCCTGAGTGCAGAAAGGTTGCATCCAATCTGCCTGAGCCTAAAGGGTGAATCTGCTCTTCCCGCCTGCCGTGTACCTGAGCTGTTTGAAGGCAGGAATTGTTTGTTTTACAGCAAAAAGAAGCCTGACTTTTTTGTGCGAGGGAAGCACAAGCAGCCCGTGTCTCAGCTGACGGTCCTGTCTGAGAATCCTGAGGTCCACAGCCGGGAAATACCAAATAGATTATTTAAGGGTTTATATATGAATTCTGGGAAAGAATCAGAGAATCTTGGGGTCAGAACTCTTTCTGGGATAAACCAAAGTTCGTGCCTTTCATAGAGATGATGGTAATACTAAATTTTTATTTGCTTAAAATGTGCCAAGTTTTTAATTGTTTTCATTGGCTTTGTTCAGCAGTTCGTGAATCGGGCAGCACCTCACCTAGCGAATAGGGACACTCCCTGTGCTAAGTGCTTTTTTAGATAGAGTAACGTGTTTAATCCTTAGAACAACCATAGGAGGTAGTTACTGTTAATGTTTCTGTTTTACAGGTAGGGAAACTGAGGCACAGAGTGGTGAAGTGACTGACTTCAGGTCAGATTGGGTGGCGGAGCCAGGATTTGAACCCAGGTAGAGTAGGCCTGGAGTGCACACTGGTACCCTCCCCCGTCTCCCAGCATCGGGCCCCTTCCTGGTTCCCCAAATCAGTGTGGCATCTAGAAGGAGGCCGACCTGACAGTTCCTGCCAAGTGCAGCCCAGACCAAGCGTAGCCGAGACCGGCCGGGCCTGGGGGAGATTGTCTTGTTCCTTTAATCGTAATTAGAGGAAAACTGGGTCTGCTGGCAACTGTGGTTTTCAGCGAGCCAGACCTGCTTAGTGGGTTGTGAAGTTTGAGGGCATTTAAAGAAACACTCCATGTTCTAATCCTGGACTTGTCTAAAATAAGTCCATGGCCTTCTTGTGGTCTGGAGCATGGGCCTTGCTCTCCAACAGACATGGGTTCTAATCCCAGCTCTGCTTCTCACTAGCTCTATGACCTTGGTCCAGTCGCTTGATCTCTGTGTCTCATTTGTGCAAAGGAGGTTGGAGGGTGGAATGTAATTAGTCAGGTTGCACAATATCAGACACTGAATAGGCGTTTAGTAAATGGTAGACAGTAGTTATATAAGAAAGGTTCATCTGGTAGAAGAGTGCTATACTCAATCATTCATTTAAAAATTATTAAGAGTAGGGAGGGTATAGCTCAGTGGTAGAGTGTGTGCTTAGTATGCACGGGGTCCTGGGTTCCATCCCCAGTTCCTCTATTAAAAAATAAATAAATCACCTCGCCCCCAAAATAAATAAATAAACAAGTAAATAAATCTAATTATTCCCCCCAAATTTTTAAAAATTAAATAAAATAAAAATTATTAAGCAACTTTTATACAAATGTTCATGGCAGCCCTTTTCACAAGAGCCAAAAAGCAGAAACAATCCGATATTTATCAGCTAATGAAAGGAGAAACAAAATGTGATCTAGCCTTACACTGGAATATTATTCAGCCATGAAAAAGAATGAAGTACTGGTACATGTACTGATGTACTGATACTACAACATGGATGAACCTTGGGGGAAAAAAGAAAGACACAAAGGTCACATATTATGTGACTCCATTTGTATGAAATATCCAGAAGACGCAAATCCATGGAGACAGAAAGTAGGGTAGTGGTTGCTAAGGGGACGAAGTGTGGGAAGTGACTGCTAAATTGATAGGGAGTTTTGTTTTGGGGTGATGAAAATGTTCTAGAACTAGTTGGAGGTGATGGTTACACCACTTTGCAAATGTACACTGCCACTGAATTGTACACTTTAAAATGATTAAAATGGTCAATTTTATGTGAATTTAACATAAGTTTTTAAATATATTGAACACCTACTAGATGGAGCACACATCAGACAAAATACCCCCATCTGGAGGAGCTTTCATGGGACTGGCAATCAATAAGTCTAAAATAAGTAAGATTATTTCAGAGAGATAAATGCCACTAAAGAATTAAAACAAGATGATGTCATAATAATGGCGGCAGATCTTTGTTTAAGCTTAGTATGTGTCTGGCACTGTTCTAAAAGACAGGTTCTGTTATTATCATAAATATCATCTGTTATTACAGATGAGGAAAGGGAGGCATAGAAAGGTTGAATCTCTCACCCACAGTTCAGCTCATCAGTGGTAGAGAGCTTGGACCACCCTAGGACCTCTGCAGAATTGGAAATAACTGGAAGAGAGTGGCCACAGAAGTGAGCTGAATAGAAGGAGCCAGACAGACAGAGCTTCCCAGGCAGCGGGAACAGCATGAGCAAAGGCCCTGCGGTAGGAACAGGTCTGGTGTATGTAAGGGCCAGAGGAGATAGTGCATGGCTTCAGCAGAGTGAGCAAGAGAGAGAGAGGCAGACAGTGGTATCAGGCAGGACCTAGGGTTTAATAGACTTGATGATGCAAGAAAGACATTGCAGAACCAAGAGAAAGGGGTGTAGGTGTGTTGCCAGGAGGAGTTGGGCAGAGAAATGGAGGGAGGGGCATGAGTCAGGTCTGGAAAGATGGGTTGGCAGGAAAGGAAAGGACTGGCACAAGGTTGGGGCAAGGTTCCCAGGTGGGTGCACTGACGTCTGGATCCTGGGAAGCACCGGGAAAAAAATAAAGCTGGGCCAGTGCAGTGGGAACATCTGAATGCAAAGCTGAGAGCTGGTGGTTTTTCCTGGCTCCTTTGTTCTCATTTTAGTTTAGTTTTTTTTTTTAAAGGAACTTAACATTTATAGGTCTTTAAAAAAAATAAGGCCATAGTTGCAAGAATGCCTTTTTAAATAGCTCAAAAAACAATAAATCTGCAGCCCACTTCTGACCAATCTCTTATTCTCCTTCCCAGAAGCAGCAGGACATTCTGAGCATACGTCTGCATACACACATACAAATCCTGCCCCCTTGTTGGCTTTGTTTGTTTGTACATGTTGTTCGCACTTTTTTTTTAATTGATAAATTTTGGAGATCAAATCCTATCAGTACATAAAGCTTTGCTTCCTTCTTTTTGGAGGGTTGCAAAGTACAAATTAGTGTAATTTAGTGTAAGGCTGTAACGTGATTTAACCGATTC